GCTTAACCTTTGAAGCATTAAGAGGGCAAAAGCTTTTCCTGCGTCAAAAATCATAAAAATGTATTCACTTTTCATTTGATTTTTTCACATACTTTTGCAGTTAAATTATAACTAAAGTGCAGGTATTCCAACACTAGAATATTAACTGCTTTGGTTTGTCTCTATTTTACTATATAATTAATTCAGTCTTGGTCTATGCATGTGAACTGTACTGAAACATCTTTCCTTCAGGGCTTTTGTAGTACTCATTAATTATTCTTTGGAACAGTTTTTCTACAAATTACAATTTAATATTTAAATTATATTTGCGTTTTAACAGATCTTTTTTATTTTCAATAAATTGAATTGGAGTTAAAGTTTAAGGTAACAAATTTTTTAATTGCCGTTACATGAGTATATATATTTAACAGTTTTTCTCTAACCAAACATGTTCCATATCGTTATAGCAATGTGAAATTGCCAGTGAATGTGAGTATGTGTTTTATCTGGTGTTCAGGGGCACTCCCATATTGCTAAGGGTAGAGCTACTCATCATACTTAAAACTGCTAATGACACGCTTGTACGTCATCAGTATATTAGCAGGTATATAATATATAATGTATATAATTATATAATATACTAGCTGACCCGGCGAACTTCGTATCGCCAAAGTTATAGGTTTCCCCTAAGACAGACCGATGGAAAGAAAGTACCGTTAAGTTTAATTTTCAAGATGATCTCGTTCGCATCGCTCAATCACGTCCTGGTTGAAGTTCGTTCGCTACGCTCACTCACCTTTGGGTTGGAGCTCGTTCGCTACGCTAACTCGCCTCCAGGTTGAAGTTCGTTCGCTACGCTCACTCACCTTTGGGTTGGAGCTCGTTCGCTACGCTCACTCACCTTTAGGTTGGAGCTCGATCGCTGCGCTCACTTGCCTTCAGGTTAGCTCGTTCGCTACGCTAACTCGCCTCAAGGTTGAAGTTCGTTCGCTACGCTCACTCACCTTTTGGTTGCAAATTAGCTGTTGTCATAAATGTAAAAGAAATAATAGTGCTGCACCCTGTTGGTAATCCTTGTAACTTTAATGCTATTGAACATCATAGAACAGAACCAACTTGTTTAATTGAAACAGCTGTTAAGATTCATTAATTCCATTTCTCATAAGGTTAACATGGGAAACTCCAGAGCCACTGGGGCGGAGCCCTTTTAAGAATTTCGAAACGGGAAATAGTTTACTTTCTATTCGCATACCTACAGAATTTACACACCAAATTTCATAACGATCGGTGAAGTCGTTCCGGAGGAGTTTGCAGACAAACACTGTGACACGAGAATTTTATATATTAGATTTTAATTCACAATTTATAGGATACAATTTATATTTTATTAAGATATATTAGCACTCCAAATACATGATGATGTTAATGTTTGTTTTTTAGCCATACCGGTATATAAAAGTATTACATATCATTAGCAGTGAATTTTTTAAGAGCCACTAATATATCTGCTCAATCATCTTCCAGTGCCATGAGATGACAAATTTACTTATAGCAACGCTAGTGGGGCTGCCTACGATTGACAGGCAAAGCTCTCTCAAAACACTTAATGCTTTTTACCATGCGGTTGGCATTCTTGGTTATAGTAGTATGTTTTCTGTGCTCACGCATTATTCTGGAACTTTGTTGTCCCGATAGCTTCTTTTGAATACAGACTAAGTTAGCTCGGTAGGTTTATTTTTAAGTTTTATGATTTGAATTTGTTTTTATCGATCAAAATATCTACTAATTCTCAAATAATCTCGTTGCCTATATGGACGTAATATATTGTTGGTTGTTCAAACATATTTCACTTTGATATATGTATATACAGGGTGTCCGGTCATAAGTGTTAAATACAATTTTGCATCAAACTACATGGTAATGGCGACATAATGACGCACATTTGAGGTTCCCAACCTCAACCGTTGGGGAATAACAAATAAATTACGGTTTTCCAAAAATTATTGTAGTTGTTATGAAAAAGGTTATATATTACTCTGTTAAAAATGCACTAATTGTTAATTTAAATGTCACTTTCAGAATCCTCAAAAAATTTTAAAAAGATATAACACATAATCGTTGGAGTACAGAAAATATTCTACTTAAATTTCTTCGTTAAACAATTATTTTTAATACTGACGAAAATTTAAATAACATTCAGTAATTTATTTCTCGGTTACCGAGATCCGCTGAGTTTAACAAATATTACTAAAAACTTCCTTATTTAAAGGGCTTTACAATGGTGTATAATAGTTTTTATCAAGTTTCAAATTTCCTAATGTAATTCAATCATTGTTGTGAAAAAAACATGGTAGGGCAAAGAAAAGCTATTGTGAAGAATAATACATTTAACTGCAGGCAACAAATAATTTGTATTTTTTTCTCGTATGCAACGCTTTTTTATAACTACTAAGCTAAGAAAAGAAACATATAGTAGCAAAATGTGTTTGTGATAAAGTTACGGTTATCGTATATTTTTCATATTTCAGATAAGATTTCAATTAACTCGCGGAAGTTCGGTTGTGGTTATACCAAAACTACCCGACACTGATTGGACGTGGAGGAAGTGTGACATGGCCTCCTCGATCTCCAGACTTGAGCCCGTTAGATTTTTATTGTTTGTGGTTACATGTAAAGTCTAGTTTACTCGACTGTTGTAAACTCTGAAGTTGAGTTACGGTAGAGAATCTTTGAGGCTACTGGGAAAGTAAGGGAAAATTTGACGTATGAGATCACAGTTGGCGCGATTCGCAAGCGAGCTAGGGCCTGCTTGCGGGAAAACGGAGGGCACTTTACACCCAAACTGTGATTCCACCTTAAAAAAAGTTGTGCTTCGGACCAAGTATGTCATAGATTTGATTTGTATTGTGTGTTTTTACTAATGTATTGTGTTTTTTTAGTAACAAATTTTCCAAAGTCTAAACAAAAACTCTTTAGTTTGATGAAAGTGTAGTCTGGTCAATCTTAAATTACACAATCCCTCATAATCAGTGGTCAGCTCATAAAGTAGTAAGTAAAATTCATTATTTTTTTACAATATCTGTTTTGGTTTAACCGTGATTTTTCACAATAGTACGTAAAATTCACCATAGATTCGACAGTAGATAAATGTGGTTATACATCACTGTAAAGCCCTTTAAATAAGGAAGTTTTTAGTAATATTTGTTTAACTCAGCGGAACTCGGTAACCGGGAAATAAATTGCTGAATGTTATTTAAATTTTCGTCGATATTAAAAATAATTGTTTAATGAAAAAATTTAAATAGAATATTTTTCCGTACCCCAACGATTAAGTCTTATTATATCTATTTAACATTTTGTGAGGGTTCTGAAAATGACATTTAAATTAACAATTAGTGCATTTTTAACAGGGTAATATAAGCTTTTTCATGTCAACTACAATAATTTTTGAAAAATCTTAATTTATTTGTTATTCCCTAACGGTTGAGGTTGGGAACCTCAAATGTGCGTCATTATGTCACCATTACCATGTAGTTTGATGCAAAATTTTATTTAACACTTTTGACCGGACACCCTGTATACTAAATTCCTTATAATACATGTTCTATTTTTTGAAATATTATTACTAAGTAGTTGTATATGAATTGTTTGCATATGTTTTGAGTTAATTTATATTGAGTTTGAATTATAATAGTCACTTTGGTGTTCGTACTAAAAGAAATCTAATGTGATGTCCCTTAAGAGTATTTTGGTTCTTCTAAATACTCATGCCAATGTCTGGGTTGTTTGATTCTTTGGAAGAAAGAAACATACTGTGACAATTTAATTGAGCTTTTTTGTATGTGTTTACGTTAACTTTGAAAACGAACAAATTACATTCCCTGGCGTTAAAATGTGATTTGTCTTTTATTGATTTTATAAAGAGCTTCCATTAATATGTATACCACATATACCATGTATAAGTCTGAAATTAGAAATATAATTTATTTTGAAGCTAGACCTAATAATAATGTTGAGTCTGATGTGAAATTTTGATACAAAAATATAGGTAACTATAAAATAATCGATGCATTCAAAATTGTATATTATGATTTATAAGTTTTATATTTGTTAGTAAAATCCTTACGCCTTACTTGAGTACTTTACTTTGCCCTTTTATTACTTTACTTGTTTACTAAATGTTATTTTTGCAAGCAGTTTGTTCCATTGTTAGAAAATGTATCCATTGCTTCTAAAAGCCTGTTTGTAGTATCATAGCTTATCTCATTAGTTCACGTGCTCCTATATTGGCTTATAGTATTTTGCATGTCTATGAAAATAATTGTTGGCACAGGATCAAATGTAAACTCTATTTTATATTTGAATGCATTAATATTGTTGTGTCATCAAGAGATGAACTACTACACTGTTAACACAAAAATAAACTACAATTATTATACGATAATTAGGCTTACACAAAAACTGACAATACCATAACGCAATAGTAACCAGCTATAGCGCGAATGGTTGGTGAGTTCCTCAGCGCCCACACTACTCTGCCTTGTCGAAACGCCAGTTTTATTGTGTCAGCCCGAGTGGTCCTGACCCTTGTGGTAAACAACCCTGCGTTTTTTGCCCTTCCTGAACGACCGGTCCGCCATTAGAACTGCCTTGCCGACGTTGATACCTTGAGCGACGGCAGCGCCACAGCTGTAAGTGAGTAGCCAGAGAGTTAAAAGGCGATTTTGAGTTCATGTCCGGCCCCCTCTTAATTACCAATTTCTAGCATTTATAATCAAGTCAAACTGATGTTAAGCTATGGTATCATTATGTCATCAGCTATCTCAGAACCAATAATCACAGGGAAAAAATTATTAGACACTAGTGCTATCTGTGACTGGCGCAGTCAACTATCTTCTTTTTGGATCTAAAATTTGCAACAGACGGTCCAATATGGGATGCCTACGTATAGTCTAGTTGTTGTGGTACTTGGGAATGAGTCTCACGTCGCACTTTAAGTTTTTAAATTTGTTTTGTTACAGTGCCGGTGATCAGAGAAAACGCCGGATCTCCTCCCACAGTGCCGGTGATCAGAGGGAGTGCCAAATCAGCTTCCACCAACGACCCATTTCTCAAAACGCCCCTCATGAGGATGTATCAGGAGCGGTTGGCCACGATGGTCTCGTGGTTTGACCAATGGGACGAGAGTTGTCAGGTAACGTAAATGCTTCAAAAGATTTTTAGTGCATCCTAGTTATGAGGACTGGAATGAACAGCCGTTTTAATGCATGCGTTGCGGGTCTGAAGTAGGTAAAATTTTGACTCTTTAGGTGTAATAATCGTTTTTAGCCCCGAGGGAGTAAATATCAGCTGTTTTCAACTCAGTTTTAAAATCCGATTGTAAACAATTACATGTGTCGATTGTAGCTTATTGTTGCCCTAATGTAAAAAGTTCAACATATCGGTAGTACCAACATATGATAAAAAATCACACGGGCAAAAATTGTCTTTTCAACTCTCACTCATTTTCTAATTTTGGCTTCTCCTCTATCTTAAAACTTGAGCCCGGGTAGAAAAGAGTTACTTTACGCCCTAGTGAAAATAATCGTCCACAATATCTTGATTCTCATGTTCCTTTAGCTTGGCTTATCCATTGAGGCGCTCTTTATGGAACACCAATTCTATTAATTTGTTGAACAGCCTTCTATAAAATAAAAATTGATTGGTTATTATTTTGAGTTCACGACGTACCTATTCATATGTAATTTTTTGAGGTATGTGGAATATGTATTTTTAAAGTACTTTTTAGCCAAATTTTTGTTTTTGGTTGATGTGGTTGGTGGTTTAGAAGAAAAAGTGGAGTTAGGCATCACCAACATCAACCAAAGCTTGTTGTGTTTCTAGTTTTGTAATGGATCGACACTGACTACACAGTATACTGTATTGACAATGTTAATACCAAAGACATTTGTTAAGAATTTCGTACGAAGGTGGTGAGCTCAGCTAGCGTAACTGAGAAAATTGAGGAGTTAATAGAAACCACATCACTTGTTTCTACAACCTATATGGTTTATACATTCACCTACGAATACTATTTCACTATAAATTGACAGGTAAAATGTCATCACATCACACTTAAATGTGAGATTTTAATCAGATTTTATCTCTTGATAACTTAAGTTGGCAACGTTGCAGGTGGTGGCAATGCTGCAGATGTTGATAAGACTGCCGCCGACGCAGGCTCGTTTTCTCACCATTGCGCTGGAGAACAGCTTTTCAGAATGTGCAGAACTGGCTCTGCGGGAGCAGGAGGCCAACAATGCAGGTATGTTTGCAGAAAATAGGGGAATCTTTGCAATTTTAAACACAACAATCGCAATTTCATTTTAGCCTAGTCACCCTAGTCACGAGACCAATTAACTTTTTCTTTCATGATATCCCCAGCGGCCAAATACAATATCCGTTGCATGATAATTAACTTTATAGTATTGTCATTAAAGAAGATTAATTTTACTAAACATGGAACTAAACCTCCTCATGAGTTACTAATTATTTAATAGTCTTGTTGGTGCAAGTTTTCTACTGACAAAAGCTTTTCAAATAATAAATCGTTAACAATTTAATTCAAAATCCATCCCTAATCTGACATTAGATAGATACTAATGACTAAGATTTTAATATTTGAAAACAATAATTATTTTCTTGTCACAGTCTATTTAAAAGCCAAATATTTGTGTAAAGTATACACTAGTTCATTATTCATTTGAGGTGAGACCATTTTAAAGTAACTTTAAAACTACTGTAAATTGTATTTGATAAAATTTAAATCATAAATTCTTCACTGATAATAAATTTGATACCAAGTTTCTCAACCTATTCCAACCAATACCAAAATGTCATGCACTCCATGGCCTAAAAATAAAAATTCTTTCAAAATGCAAGTGGTTACACATTACAAAATGTGTACAAAATACATACTGAGTGGTTACCCGTTGGTCATTTGTTCCTTTATTTCACAGGATACATCAGCAATCTGTTGAAGGAAGCAAAAGACAAAGCCATTGAGGAATTGTTGTTGCATCTGCCATTGCTGAGGCCAGGTCAGTAAACCGCCATTACCTAGGGTAGTGGGAGGGGCGTAGGGTGTGGCTAGACTAACAGATTTGGGGTTGTTTGATGGGGGGAGGGTGGAATCCTTGGCCATTGTTGCCTCGTAACAAAGAGAATGGAGAGAACTGCATAGAAGAATGGTCAACAATGTGTTGTTAGACATTTCTATTAACCGAAAGTAAAAAAAAAATATGTCTAATAACACCTTTCTCGTTAAAAACTCTTATAGGTGTAAATATGTGTTTCACACATTATTATAAATATTTTTGTTGATACTTGTACTATGTTGATTAAGAAGTTTTTTTAAATATTATAAGTATAGTTATATTTAAAATACAACACTAGAACATTGTCGCATAGGCATCGTCATTTATTTCAGGTTTTAAATTAAATGTTTACAGTTAACAGGTTTTTAAGAGACTAGAAGATAGATATCGGGGTTAAAATTACGATGGTTGCAATTTCATTGCAGAGAAGTTTTTTTATGAATTTGATTTTACATATCTTTGTCAGTTTTCTTCAGTCAACTTGTAAATGGTCTGAGGATAGACAAAGATACGTAACCTATCATATTTGTACAATCAGTCTTGGTGGCAAGAATGTTAATATTTTTACAAACATATTACGTTAACTACATGGGCTATATTACCCATGCTACATGATCCTCGGATATGCCTGAGGATGAGTGTAAAAGTAAAATTTTATCTTGTAGTTAATATATCAGTGGATTATCTATGCCACCGATGTTCAGAAAAAGAGGGCCGAGAATTGAACCCTGAGGTAGTCCGAAATTGAGTTGACTGTTTGTATTGCAGGCAACAAGGACGCCAAACACAGATACCTGGGTGTCATTCCTGTGTTGCTGAATTACTGTGTGGAACACAATAAGTTCTTGGATAAAGCATTGAACCTGGTGGTCTACACACTGGTACATCCGGCACTCAAGGACGACCGCAAGTGAGTTCAAAACCCTTTATAGGGTGATGCTTATGTTCTCTTTGTTTACTGAAGTAGTTGTTTGAGACAGACACAGATCGTGATATTGTAAAAGATATTTGTTGTTACTGAGATAGTTGGCGTGATAAAAAGATGCTATGACTTACATCAAATCATCCTATCAGTTTTACTTGGTTAAAAAGCCTGCATATTCGATATAAATTTGTATTTTAAATCAGTGCAATCTGTCGATGACTCATTTCAACTACGTCCATTTTGACATGAAAACTGGGGGCAAATATAACTTGGAGATCGAATGTTTAGTTCTATTAATGGTCAAAGTAGTACAGTCCAATATCTTGGTCTTCCAGTCAGAAAAAAGTCCTCCACAAAAGATTTTAATTTAGTTTTTTAAAGTTATGTTAATTACGATCAACTATTGAAATAAAAAAAAATGTTCATTGTGTCAAGTAAACAAAATGTATTCAAGTTTTTCTTTTTAACAAGTAAATTTTTAACTACAGTCCCTTAATGTATAAATAAATACAGATCGAAACAAAGTAGGAACCAATTATGACGCTAATTGTTTTTAGAGAAGTAATGTGAGTTACATGATCAGATAATACGAGGCTATAACTCTGATAAGGAGCCAGAAACCTACAGTAATGGCCCATATATCATTGTTAGTAATCAGATGTGTGTTGGGCTGTGGCCGGCTCAGTGTTTTAACATGTGCTCGTGTTACAGGACATTCGAGCCGTGGCGCAGATCTCTCGTAGAGAAAATCGCAGGTGGTAGTGTAACACCTTCCGGTGAGTTGTTTGTTTATGGTTTACATTCCTCAAATAATACTTGTATGTACTTTTATTGCACTTGGGAGTAAAAACTTGATAGGTAAAGCATAGATAAAACACCACTTAGTAGATTCCTCATCCTTATGGAAGAGCTGATGACAATTTTATTGTTAATTCTGTACGCTGCACTGTAGAGGTTTTGTTTTGTTTATATAATTTGTTTCTTTTTATTTCAGTAATTTTAAACCTCGTTTAACCAAATAAAACGATCTAATAATAAACAATAACTGGTCTCCTGGTTATATAACCAAACAGTAAAACAAAACATGAAAATCACCCTAAAATAATAGAAACAAAATTTTGTCTACAAAATTCAGCCATATATTGCCAGTAAATTATTTTGGACGTTTTCAAATCCTTTGCTTTTTTTTTCAAGTACGGTTTTACTTCCTTGTGCTTGTCGTAGGATAAAGATTAAGAAGAGCTGATAAAAAATTATAACCTCTGTTGAAAGATGAACAAAATAAGTACAAAGTTAAGGTTTTTTCTGTTAAAATATATTTATGATTCACTTTTTTTAATTAATAACCCTCGGTTCTGTAGAAATCTTTGCATGAAATTTTAGCGTTGCGTATTGTGAAATACTCTGATAGACATTTTATTTCTCTATAGGATAGTAAATTGTCTTTGTTTCAAATGCTTCTCTACCTTGTTGGTTCTGTCTAGATGGTTTGAATATTTAAAAAAACCCAAACATTGTTTCTTTTTAATTACTGACAAACTGCTTATGATATTGCAGCCGCCCCAGAAGGCGCAGAAGCAGGTCAGGGCAAGATCAGAAGAAGCAACAGTCTAACTCCTCCCTTTGCAGGGTCAAGTGCTTCCAACGAATTGTGGACTTCTCAGGTAATTTGCAAACTTAAAATCTAAACTACTACTTATCCAATAAATACAATTGCTGATTGAGTAAACCTTGTGATGAATCTTTTGGGCGTGGTATTCAAACATACTAAATTTGGTAGCTATTGTCATGATGTGAACCTTAGTTTCAGTTTCGCTAGTGTTTTGTACACTCAAATGTGGTATAGAATTTAACCAACTTTTTATCAATTTATTTTATTTGCCAGCTTATATTCCATACCTTTTTCTAACATTCTTGTTTCCTATTACCACTGCTCATTCATATAATTCTGTTTAGGGTATACCATACTTTTTTACCTTGATCTTGCGTTACAGAGACACACTGCTTTTAGGTGGTTGATGATAGTATAATCAAATTTTTATTATCCATGAAGGTTTCAATGCGGTGATTGATGAGTGTGTTTGCATTTATTTATTTTACTGTGCCCCTATCAGAATTTGTTTGATCAAAATGTTATCGAACAAAATGGATACGTGTTTGCTTTCAGTACTCATAACCCATGACAAACTCATATTCAAAATTTTTGATGGTTTCTTCACTAACTAACTATTTAGAACCCTATTTTTTTCACAGTAGTTTTATATTAGCTAAAACCACCTTGTTGCTCATTGTTTGTTTGTCCCTACAGGATGACCTGTCTGTAGTACGCAGAGCCAGTTCAGGACGCAGATTCTCCCTGTCTCTCTGTGAGCCTCCCCCCCTCTCCCCACAGAGTTCACAGGCCTCCTCAGGTAGTGGCTCCGAGTCCCACCTGGATGACCTGAGGCCAGGATTTGAGGCTTGTGGAATGAGAGGTCAGTAATTGTGATAAGATCACATTATTTTCAACTATCAACTTTCTAACGTTACTCTTTTTATTCTAGTTAATGCCATTAATCAATGACTAATCTGGGTCTAGAATCGTCCCTTTTTAGGATCGAACCAGCGGCCTTTCATTTTGAATTAATTGATTAGATTAATTTTTTCCTGGAAATATTTTTACCTAAGCCTATGCATGTTACCATGGAATACTTGACTTGTCCAAGATGTAGGTAAATAAAATAACCTTTCAATTTTGTTAAGATGTAGGTTAATCCAAAAAAAACCTTGCAGTTTTTCAAGTTTTTTCAACTTTGCACCCACAATACATTTTGCACATTTCATATATTGAAATCTAACCTCACATTATGCTGCAGATGTGAAGGGGTGGCTCAAGTCGCTGAGGCTACACAAGTACTCCTGGCTGTTTTCCCAGTTGACTTATGCACAGATGTTGTCCCTCTCAGAGGAGACGTTTGATACTGTAGTGGAGTCAGTAGGAGGTGGACTCTACACAGTCACTCAGGGGGCTCAACGCAAGATACTGCTGTCCATCTCCAAGCTGCGCGACCGCTACGGGATTTTGTGCAGAGTCGAGCGGGTAAGTCAATGGTTGACGTCTTTTATATAAAATAATCTTTTTGGCCTACATTATTGTGCTGCACTATGTCTGCATCTACTTGAGTGGGAATAAAAGATGACATCTATATCTTCTAGATTTTTTATTAGGTATTATCATTGAGTTGTTGCATTAATAGTCAAAGGTATTATACTCTGAATAATGGAACCTGTCTTCTGACCGTCAGGAGACTGCTTCCATCGTACAGACTATTTTATTCAAATGCCAACCCAAAATCAAGTTTTTAAATTTGTTGTAATTATTTACTTCAACAGTTTGCCTAACCCATTTCACTTTAATGCATTTGGCGAGCTATGCATACTAACTATACCTATATTTTTTAATAATTTATGCAGGTAATGAACGTAGCATTAATTTGTAACTTGAGTTACGCAGCAGATAATATCTGAGGGAAGCTGGGGTACGATAAGAAGCATACAAGATGTATAGGGATAAAATCTGATATTTTAAATTTAAAAACATTTCTTATTTGAAAATTTCTAGAACCCATAGAACATGTTGTCTCTCAACAGTTGTAATGTTGATTTGTGAGGGAAAACTATCATCCTTTGAAAATTGATAAAAGCAGAGATTCTATTCCCATGTTGAAGTTTTTACCAGTATTAGAATGAAAATTGATGTAGTTAAACTCTTTCACCGAAAAAACATGCTGTTGATCACTGCTTTGATTAAAATGTCATTACAACAAAACACATAATATACAACATTTAATTTCATTTCAGGAGCTGGATGAACAGACTTTACTCAACGCTATGGACGAGGTGAAGAAAGTTTTGTTGACTCCTCTCAAGCCTCATGAAGACTCTGATCTATCCCCAGTGGATGACCTTCCCTCTCAGGTCACCAGGGTTTTGCATAAAGGTAACTACCACCCTGTACCTCTCAACAGAATTATACAACCCCTAATGAGTGCGGAGTGTGGGAACCGTTTGTGGCAGTTGTATACATTAGTTAGATATACATATATTGGATTGTTAATATTTTTAGGTGATATAATACTATGATAGGTCTTTCGTTTGTATGTATATATGGCCTATTTGAATATCATAATTTTAAGCCATACAATCTTTTACATTGTGCTGTGGCGATTAGGTTAAGTTAGATTAGTTCAGTTTGGCTTCGTTTTTGTATGATAGGCCTAATAACAAATAAGAAACATTGAAAAGGAAACGTTAATCGGTTAAACCATTGTGTATAATTTTAAAGATATGAATTTACAAAAGACGTTTGTACAGGAACGGTGGATTTACCAACTATCGGTAATTGTTGGAAATCCACTACAAATTTTAACAATGATTTCGGTTAATTAATGCACAAGAATTTATGATTGTTGTTAACTGAGATTTAGTGGATTCGTCCTTACAAATAACATTAAGTGCGGTTGGACTCGCCCCTGCGATCACGTTCATCCCGTTACGCGAAGTCTAAGCGTACTACTAGTTTTAGGGATATGTTATCTCAGTAAATTTACTTTCAAAGATACCTCTGAACTATACTGAAAACAAAGAATTGGATCTTTACCAAATTTCTCTTCACTGTTGTGTTGTCTTCACTAGTGTTTACAGTATATGTTTTCTTTTTTCAGTTTGCACGTATCTCCTTGTGTACCAAGTGACAGATGAGGAGGCTTTGACTTCATTCATCAGTCTGCTGGACTCCTCTCGTCAGTTGGAGGCCTTCACATCTCAACAGAAGCAGAATATGAGTAGTTGGAGACTTGAGATATCGCAACACATCAGCCAAGTGAGGCAGCAAGTGTAAGTGTAGTCATGTTATTTAATTATTGTTATTAATAGTACTATCAAAATTGAGATGTTACTTTGAAGGTGAATCTAGAATGGAGGGAGACACTCCTTGTTGCTTTGTTACTGACTAAGATCAGCTGCTTCATTTGCCAGGATAATTGAAACACAATGATCAGAGACCAGCTGGGTTCAGTTTCAAAACATCAAGCTCCTGTTCTCAGGATCGACCCAGTTACCTTTTGATTGCTAGGCGAGTTCTATAACCACTCAGCCATAATGTATACCTTTATTGTGTCAAAAATCTGTAATGTTGTAGAATTTTTGTCAGCTCCCAGAGGTTTTTTCTGATGATTTTCTACACCATTGGTATTATTAAGTTCTTAATTGTTAGAATATTTTAATTGTAAAGTAACTGTTTAACCCTTGTCAATGTTTTGATATGTCATTGGATTATGAAATTATGATGTTATTTGAAAAGAGGTTAGCGATAGAGAATACTATATTTTTTATATTTTTAACATACGTAAAATACTAAAAATGGCAATGGTGTAAAATCAGTAGATGAAAATATGCTATCATTTGTTATGTTGTAGTCTATTTAATTTGATATTGACTACAAAATCTTTGCAATGAATAACATTTTGACATGAACTGTGTCCTATAATGTGTTGTTTGGTTGCAGTCATCAACAGCATCAGCAACGCTATGGATACTTGTCAGTTCCCCCCGCTCGGTTCTCCGCTGCCCCCCGCCATGGGGTCCCCCTCACCCTGAGACACAACCTGGGAGGGCAACGCTCTCAGCCCCACTCAGGACCTCCGCACTCTAGCTTCCTAGCCAAGCGGCCCAGCCTGCAAGACAACCCCTCAGAGGTAATAATGGTTGATTTTATTTTAGACTCAATATGTATTACAAATTTAGTTGCAGATTGTGTCAATTGGTTTCCTCCACCATCGCTTTTTTTGTACAGTAGGCCTACTCCAACAACAAGTTGCCAATGGATTAATAGCATTAGCACCTCAAGTGTGGCTTCCAATATGGTTGGGAGCCTTTCATCCTTTCCACATACCATTGTAATTGACACAATCTCTACCACGAGTCAAACTATTGACTAGATAATACTACATAGACATCCAATTTCCATGTTAAAGTTGACACCAGTTTTATAATAAAAATGAAGTTGAATTTAGTTGCTACATAGTGTATTGACTTCAATATGCTAACTTCTTAACAAAAAACTACTTGGAAATTTAAATTTCTTGTTGTAACTGAGCATATTTTGTGTCTCATCAAATTTGTTTGTGCGAGTGCATGACGACAATGTTTGCATCATGAGTGTGAATGATTGCCATTTAATGCAAGTTGTAGTTACCAAACTAAGGTTTTGACCAAAGCCTGACAAATTACGTAAATATTGATTTTCCTTTGCAAATAACATCTAGATCCAAAATTGTGACCCCACTTGGAATCAAACCAGTGAGGTTAAGATTCAAAGGCGAACCCTATAACCAACATACTACAAAAATTAACTTTTCTTGCAAAAGTATTTCTTTCTTTTTCAAATTTTTTATTTCACAAACCATTCTAGCTCATTCTTTGCCTGGAAAAACGTTGCTAACATTTGTTCAGTTCTAAATATTATTGTATTATTATGCAAAATTATTATGCTTAGTGTTTCATTATGCCCATCAATAATCAATTTTTGTTACAGTACTCTGTGGATCCGTCTCACTCCATGGTACAGAGGACTCACTCTGCCCCGCCACCCCCTGCACAGTCACTAGCTCTAGACACCCCGTCTACCTCCACCTCTGCCACGGCCCCCGCAGCCCCCGTCACACCCCAGGAGACTGACCCGGAGCTGAACCTACGGCTGGAGAGTCTCTGTCTCAGCATGACTGAACATAGCCTGGAACTGTAAACTTGACAAGTTGGTGACTGTTTTCTGTTCATTGTTGTGTAGTCTCTGAGAAAGGTTAAATTACCTTGTAGCGCTGTGTAATTCTTTTGCTGGTGTAACTTCCATGGTTTAAATTCAATTATTCTTTGAGACAGTGCCACACACTTAAGTGAGGAATGGAGTGGGATGATCTGGGCAGCTCTTTTACATAGATCAGGTGTTGGTTGCAGTCAGGATAATTTATTAATCAATTTATTTTAATTTTTTAATTCAATGATATTTATGGCTGAAAGAGTCATTTCCGAATCATAAAATACCTTAATTGGGTATTTTGGGTCAATTTTTGGGGTATTTTGGGGTAATTTTGTATAATTGGGTCACCTGCCCTGGTGATTGGGTTTGATTAAGCTACCACGAGAAAACTAATACAGTTTGGAACCATCAAAACTTTTAGTGGCGTACTTTCGAAGTTCCTTAAGACATTTAAAACCATGGAAGGCTCTTGCAGCAGCAAAAAAAAAATCACTCAGCGTTACAAAGTTTAGTTGATATTTTTATTGTGTTTGATGTTCTTCTGTAATTGTTGATTTGTTGTCTTTCTATAATTTAAGATGTTTTTGCTTGATCCCATAGTATAAGTGTGTACTAGTTTATGAAGTCTGAAATAGGGTGTTGGCTATCTTACACCTTTTTTATTATAATAGGAGTTTTTGGATGTTTTTGTAGTAAAAAATATCTTACCCCCGATTTCAGTTTTTAATTTAAACTTAGTGTTAAATATCTACTCTCCACAATATTCTATGTTGCTAAAAGATTTTGGAGCTGTGGTTTGTTGTTAGTCACATGATCTCGTATATTAAAATTTGAAAAAATCCTAATTATTTTTATTTGGTAACATCAGGATAGAGTAATCAAAAAGATTATAATACGATGGTTGGTATAAATAAGTGCAAAAAAGTGAATCTGCATAATTAATATACAGCAGAACCTCTTTAATCCGAGCCCCCGTAATCCGAACGTCCACTAATCCGAACGCCTCATTGCTGCACTTTATACACACTACAGTAGTTCTTTATTGTATACTGTATTCGATGTACAGTACAGTTTACTCACTATTTTTACTACTGTATTAAATAAACACTGTATTTTACTTTATAAAGCATTTTTTCACTTTTCCCGTACCAATTACAATCAATTTTAGCCAGGTTTTAGCTAATGTTATGTAAAAACATAATATGGTCTGTAATCCGAACTATTCAATAGTCCGAACTACCCCCGGTCCCAATTAGTTCGGATTAAAGAGGTTCTACTGTACTCCATAATATGTAATATGAAAATTTCAGCTCGTTTTGGATACTAGTATCATTTAAGTTTATGAATAACTTTCTACGTTCCTATATCAATAACAAGTCAGTTCTCATTGCTAAATAAACCGTAAAGTCTGCTTATTTTAGATTTTTCAACTTCAAACAAAGTGTAGGATGGAATGATGAAACTATTATTTTGTAATTTTAAATGTTTCAAATATGGGACCAAGCAAATTAAATAAACATAATTTTTACTCAAGAACTGCTTGTAAAACAGTTTTTACTGTGTATTTGATTTTTAACTGTACATTTTTAACATCAGTTATCCTGTAATCATTAATTGTATTATTGTAATTGCATGTTTTGGTGTTTGCTCAAATGAAAACCTTGGTAGTATTACCAAGATGGGTTTCTACTATTTGCTTGTTTTACGTTGCGCCATAAACGTACAAATGGTCTAGTTTAATTTTGATATTTACCATAAGTTTTCGAAAAAGTCAACCATTTTATGCCCACTTTATTTTTTAAATCGTAACCTTTGTGAAATATATCACAAGCACAAACTTATTATATGCTTTGGAATTAATTTATTTTGTCATTCAGAAATACCAAATACACTATGGTTTTGATTCATTACCATTCATACGGTTAAAATGGGTTGGATCCATCTAGTTGGTTCTGTTTCATCTAGTTTTCTGGATTTACTATTTATTTTTTTGCAAATAAAAAACGTTTCCCAATAGTTCTAAGCCTCTCTGTCTGTGGTTAAATTGGATCTTAAAATATGAAGTTTTAAGAAGTTGCTATTTTGTAAATAATGTAATAATTTAAACAAATGATAAAAGACTGAATATGAGTTACTATAGTCTAAAACATTTTTACAGCCATATTTATCTGAACAGATTTTTGTCCAAGCTAAACCATTTTGCATGTACAGTTTTAGCGAATACATTTGAACAAAAGAAAAAGTAATTTGACATTTTTAAGGTTAATTTTTGTGTATTTTTATAGTTTGCTTTTTAGAGATGCTTTTGAGACATCTGATTTAGGTTTGATAGTTGTAAGATGTTATGATTTTATTTTTACCAAGGTGGTTTTTTGTTTTGTTTTGTTATTTACTAAGTCTAGAACATATAGGCTATATTTGTAAAATACTATCTGATTGGTGGATTGTTTTCCATTTTTGTACCGTGTTACAACTGCCAAGTCATTTTGAGTAGAGTTGTAGGTTAGTTTTTGTGATGTTTCAATCTAGTTGTTTTGATTTAGCTTTTTTTTATTATTACCGTTTTATGTTATTTTTGTAAACGTTGTGTTTTCAACTGTATATTTTTATGTTTTTCATTATATGGGACGAAAGTGCCCGGTGATTAGATTTATTAATTTCATGTTATGGGAGTAAATTCTCCGGTGATTAGATTTAAGTTGTTGTGATAATCACTGTTCTCAATGTTCGTAAAAAACAATGGAAATTTTTGCCTTCTTACATGTAAAAAAGTAACAAGTTTTTATGAATAAATGTTCATCAATTATTAAATCCATATAAGTTAAATTATTTTTACTTTTGACAGGTTAGTCATCAAATAACTCTACTGCTGTATTACTGTCATTCACATAATTATTTTTACAGAAATTTCTTGATTTACTGTTCCATTGTTTGTTTACAACAATTTTGTACATTATTTGCGAGAGTTTCAAGTTAGTGGTGCAATGATACAATCTGGAATGTTGTGCAATGTCCAGATTATTGTAAATATAGTTTCTTATTTATTCTATACCATTTTGATTCTCAGATCTATGTTATTTTTATTTTATTATTTTATTAAATTTAACCAGTGATTGTGCAATTATGGATTTGTTTTGTATTTGTGGTAATATAGTCTTAGTATAATTTGTTTTATTCTTATTGTTTCTTAAGGGCAAAGGACTTCCTATTGTCAAAAAGTAAGATTACAATCCAACATCAAATCCTCAATAATGTCAATAACTTACAAATTAAATACATAGAATTTTCATTTGTAGCAATATATTCTGGATATATTTTTCTTAAGATTGTCTACACATTTGTTTTCAATTAAAAGCCTCAGTTGAATGTAATTGTTTGAAGTCATATGTTTAAACTACTGTAAGTACCTTGTATTGAATGTAGGTCACAAATAAATTATTAAATTTAACCAGTGATTGTGCAATTATGGATTTGTTTTGTATTTGTGGTAATATAGTCTTAGTATAATTTGTTTTATTCTTATTGTTTCTTAAGGGCAAAGGACTTCCTATTGTCAAAAAGTAAGATTACAATCCAACATCAAATCCTCAATAATGTCAATAACTTACAAATTAAATACATAGAATTTTCATTTGTAGCAATATATTCTGGATATATTTTTCTTAAGATTGTCTACACATTTGTTTTCAATTAAAAGCCTCAGTTGAATGTAATTGTTTGAAGTCATATGTTTAAACTACTGTAAGTACCTTGTATTGAATGTAGGTCACAAATAAATTGACTCTTAAGTCATTTACTAAATAAAACTATTGTTTCTTTTCTATACTTCCCTCAGGAATTACCTGACTTATAATTCCTGAGTCAGGTATTATAAGATATACTTATATCTTCTATCATAATTTTAGTTTAATCTCAATAATTTTAGTTCCTGTTTGTATTAACTGGATGTTTTGGATTTTAAATTTTGACCGTTTTGATTTAGTTACTGTAACACTAATATAAACAAAGTGTATATTTGTAATTTCTAATGTTAACATAAATAAATTTTGTGTACTGGGATCTATCTCTAATAATTGTAAACCCCGTCTTCAATAAACTATTGTAGTTTGGTTATTACTTGGAAAATTCAATTTTTCTTCAATTTATATTTTATTCTGTTAAGTATACCTTAAAATTTGTCAAGCAATTCAAATACATAATAGTACCTTGTAGATATTCTCAATTTTTGATAGATACAAAAACGACTCTAGGATTCAAATTTTATACAGGTTGTACTCAGCGGCACGGGACTAATGAAAGTTAAAAGAGACAACTCAATGATAAGAGACAGTTGGGTCTAGTCTCAAAAGTTATGTTTCAGTAAAATGGACCAGCGTTATTATATTATACATTTTAGTAGACACTGTACTTTGTCTCTTGTCTAAAAAGAAACAAATATGCAAAACTGTCAAAAAGGATTTCATTAATGCACAAAAGTTACATTAACTGCCAAGGATATTTAGCTAAAAATAAATCCGAACAAGAATATTAACTCAAGTTTCAGCTATTATCCTCTTTAACATAATATTATTAAGGTCCATGCAAAACTGATGGGGAAACGTAATTTTTGGACAAGTGTCTTTGCTGCACTCCAGAGGCTCTTTCACTCTCACTTGCAGGATTTTATGGCACTTAAAAATAACTTATTTCAGACACTTGTCGATTTACAGTGGCATTACACAATAACTGTTACATTTGAAACTTTCTTATGTATATCATAAAATAAAGTGTAAAATCCTTAATTTGAGGTCACTAAACAATAAACTATAAAACAACCTCACCCAAATTGCTTTGTGAGATAAGACCCAGGAATGAATGGTTGTAACAGTTCCCTTGACAATTAATTGGCAATAAAATGTCTGATGTTACCTCTTTATTAGATGGGAACTAAAAAGAAACCAACTCTAATTTTAAATTGAAAAATAATAGTTAAACCATAAACAGTTCTTTTTGCATCTTGAAATAAAATTTAGTTGTTCAAAGTTCAAGGTTTTGTAAGTTTTTATTGTTTATGTAATTATCATTGGAATTTTCAATTTCTGGTTATTAGGAACAAGATTCATGACGATTTGAAATCTCACTCTCCCTTCAGATGAAAATAAAGTATTAAAACATGTATAAAATTAGATAGTGGTGGAGAAAAAGGATAATTCAATATTGCAGCCCAAATTGCTTTGTACCTTCACTTAGTTACCGACATTCAAATTTACTTTCGTAACTGTTGACCCTTTTGCAGGACAAGGATAAAATCACAAACTATAACAAATTAATCTGTAAGAAGGGAATTGTCTAGTGTTTGGTATCGATATCCGATATATCGGAAATATCGATATTTTGGTTCCGATATATCGATATTTTTATATCGATATTAGACTTCCGATATTATCGGGATATCGATATTTTACTTCGATATTATCGTTAGAATTAATTTTAGCAATTTTTCAAAGAATAATGCAAGAATAAAATACAGTTTAATCTTTTCTGAACTTGTTTAGCAGTTATTAAATATTATTAATAACAAATTTATTTGTAGGCCTACACACAAACTATTTCATGTACCTATCTAGTTAAAAATATATTTTTAATCTGGTTGCCTCTGCCTGCATTTGAATAGTGAGTTGGCACGGTTGGCAGAAGTGGAGTGCCAAAATGAGGTGACGGCAGTGAAAACCAAACAAAACCATTAAATTCTCATGTGTTGTATATTTTTTTGTACACAAGCCTAAAAAATTATAAATTGTAAACAATTTAACGTCATATGTGTGCAGCTAACTGCTGTTCATATGGTGGTACTTTCCTGTTAAAGGGAACATTCATTATTATCGATTATTTCTTTTTGAATATCGATATTTTATTTTTCTATCCGATATATTGATTCATTATAACAAATTAAAACATATCAGCTGACAACTTCGATAAGGATAGGCTAATATTGTTCAGTATTAACAAAGGTACTTTCCTTCTAAAGGGACATTTTTATATCAATGATTTCTTTTGATGACATATCGATATTTTTTTTACCAAACCGTCTGTATATATTCCTTTGTTTTAATATCTTCAAACGCATTTTTTTTTAAATTGTTTGTTAAGGTAATTTCCTGTTAAAGGGAAGCATTGCGTTAGCATTCCAATTCCATTAATTTTTAACGATATTTTTCCGATATATCGATATTTTTGGTCCGATATTATCGGAATATCGATATTGAGGCTCCGATATTATCGCCGATATAAATATCGATATTTTCTTTCGATATCCCAACACTAGAATTGTCAAGATTTCATAAAATATAAAGAAGATGGAAGTTTTTTAGTTTATTCCTAATTGTTTTAACACATGCATAATTATACTGTATCCCTGTTGTTTACTTACACATCTAGGTGTTGTAAACATCAAATAAAAGGTGTGTTTATTCCTCATAGTCGGGCACAAATTAGGCATTGTCAGATGTTGATTTATGTCTAGACCAAACTAGACTGCATCAACGACTTGTCTTGTTGATACTGTACAATTGTCATCGTAACACCACGATTGTTGATTGGTGATTGGTGATTGTTGACAGTTGATTGTCGACCACGAGTATTGTTTGACCGCTTTCGCTCAGTTGCACCATACCTTTTCAATTGCTTTTTTGTCGCTCCCGATTAACTGTGCAAACAGCTGACGTTCGCTGCAGCAGCTATTGACACACGGTTATGCATTAATACATGACTGTTACGATGAGTTTTGAAATTAGCATTATATGAATACGGGATATAATTCGGGTGGCGATTCAAGGGATAAATGTTGGTGACATTAATTTTTGTTTTAAACTTTAATCACGACGGATTATGAAATTTTAGATTTCCCAAAATGCCCCAATGCACAACCTTTTGTACTAATATTTGTGTTTATATTTTATTTATTTTTACTTAAACAGCAATAGCAATTCAAAGATTCAAAATCAACCTATTGACAAATTTCTGAATGGGAATTTTAAAACATAATGTTACGTTTATTTTTATAGTTATTTGAATTTTAATAAATTTAGCTGCCGACGCCGAGGGTTACACTTTTAGTTAGTTTGTTGTGTGGCGCCATTTTAGTTTGTCAAACAGTTACAAAAAAAATCGCGTGTAAAAATATTGTATATTGAATAATAGCAAATATCAGTCAAGATTAGTTATCTGTGTAACTAGTGTGCGAAGTGGCACTTTGCTGCAAGCGGCTCGTGTGGAAAGTTTATGGAGTGCAGCAAAAGAACTTTGTACTCGCGTTACACATTATATTTTTCCTACAGTTACTACAAAGCATAACATTAAGTCTTTCAACCACTATACAACATGTTTTTAGGTTAGGTTAAATCGTTGACTGTTGGATACTGAATAGTCAAATCCAAAACTTGAACTAAAGCCAGTCGTCTACCGGGCAACCCAGCGGGTGACGCGGAAACGCTCGCTGCACCAGCTGGTCGTAGTCGTAGTATCTTTAGTGTTGCCAACTTATTTTCAAGCGTACATGTATTACGTGCCTAATAAAAGCGCACCGTTTTGTGTTGTATGGTTCAAATACTGGAGTGCGGCAAAAAATGTGTGCGTCAATTAAGTAAACTGATTGCGGCATAAGTAAGTAAATGTAGCAATTAGCTACTTTGCGTGCTATAACCAGTGCAAGAAACCCCGCTTTGTCTGGTAACTGCAGGAAAACAATTATTGTATGAACAGTTTGGAAACTAAAAAAATCATGAGGCCTTTTGCAATAGCTCACCGATGGAGTTTTGTTGTGTAGAAAAATCTGTCGCAACAAGCTGTTACCACTTAAAAATAAATATGGCGAAGTAAAAAAAATTAACAAAAGACATTTTGCAAAGAACAGTAACGGTATGTGACACGAATTTGGCATAAAAAAGACATGGGTGGTGTTATTTTATGTTTTAAGAATATTAATTCAATTCCAAGGAAAAACATAAACTGTCACAAATGTTCGTCACTTTTCACACTGTTGCACACACACCTACAGTACTAACACGCACGACTGCGCCTGTGCCTAGCGTGTAAGAGTTGTTCGGTCGAGTAACTCGGCTGATACCGTGATCAGGGACAGAGTCCACTTCCTCCCTTCCCTACTGTTTATTAATTACCACAACATTGGCTTTAGGTCGGTCACTGAACCAGCAGACCGTGCGACCACACCCATAGATATGGGTCAGGGGGATTGGTTAGAATACTATCCAAATATCCTATATCTAACATACCCTGCACAGTACTATCATAGATTAAACATAATATCCCATGTAAACATAAATAATGTTTATGAATGTACCCTCCTTCTGGATCGGCAGAGGATTCCCCCCCCCCGTACGGTTATACAGTAGATGGTGTTTTATTGTCTACTATTTATTTCTTACAATAAGACCCATTTTGGAGCTATTTTGACCAAACAAAACAAACGATTTTCTACCTGGGGAAGTAAGAAACTTCAGTAGCGAGATTTTTGTCAACGAATTATCTTCCGGAACCAGAATTACGGAGTCCTCAAATTTAGTATACCTGCGACAGCAGTTTTAATGAAGTGGTAATTCAAAAGTAATGTGGTAATAGAAAAAACTGTATATTCTGTAAAAAGAATCAGAATTGTTATACAATTCGTTAGAATTTCAAAACATGCTACTTAGCGTTATTGGTATAAGTTCTAATATAGTCAAGTTTATTACCTGATTAAACAGTACCTAAAACAATGGTTATATTTAACAGTAATTTAATAGTTTTGACTGTTCTGTATCACATTATATCTGCGGCTGGATCACATTAACCTAATCTAACTATCTAATTGTAGGGTCGAGGGCTGGGAGACATAAGGTTTATGTCAGGAGTCATGTGATGCAACACCGGAATCCTTTCTCCCACAAGGTCGGAACGCCTCCAGAACTGTTACGGTTTGAATTT